ATTTTCATTACTTAGGAGGGGTTGATTTGAAGTTAAGCACAAAGCTAAAAAGGGGCTATCTGTGTTCTGCCCACCACAGGTATCGAAACCCAGTTTCTAGCTTTGTAATTCCGCAGACATACCGCTGTGCCACGGGGGGGGGGGGAGTCTTAGGAAGGGTCTCAAAAAATCTAGAGGTTGTGTGAGATTTTGTGGGTGCTCCTCATTTATGGGCCGGGAGTAACCTAGTGGTTTGCGTGCTAGATCTGTGAATCGTAGAATATCTGGTTTGCGTCCCGTTGACACTCTGCACTTTGGAATCATGGGCTTCTTTGTAGTTAAGCATAAAGCTACATAATGGGCTATCTTTGCTCAGCCCACCACGGGTATCGAAACCCGGATTCTAGCGTTGTAAGTCAGCAGACATACCGCTGTGCCACTGGGGGGACGGAATCATGGGTGCGCTATAAGTGTGACGGCCAAGTCCCACAATTCAGCCATGCTAGAGCAGCCCAACAGTTGGCAGAGGATGCTATTAACCAGCTGCTTCCTCTTTATTCTATTGGTTTTAAAATTAAGGGTGGCTTTGTTCAGATAGCCCTTGTGTAGCTTTGATTCTAAATGAACAAACAAACAACATTTCTTTGAATTATTTTTATTGTTTACTTGTATGTCAAATGACAAAAATGACCAGGTCACGTAGATTTCGGAGAGTATTCGTTACTTAAAACTCTAATTATTCTTAAAGGTTTGCAGCATCGCTCACGTGAAGAGTTGTATTTAGAAAGGTATTGAAAATCAGTTCAAAGAACACGATTGTGTTGACAAACATATCCACGCTTTAATAACCAGCTAATTGTTTGTTTGTTTTTTTGTATCTCTATCTAGAAATTCTGATATGTTTACAAAATCCATGGTATGTTAATAATCAAACCAGTCTAAGAGAAAATCACTCAGTAATTAATTTCCTGCGACATATATCTCCCCATTTTTTTGTTAATCTGCCTGAAAAGCTCTTCCTAGAGTAACTATGGTTTCTAGTGTAGGCCAATTGCTATTTGTAACACACGGATTAAGCATGATTTGACGGTAATAGGTTCGTACATAGATATATGTGTGTGTGTGTTACTTTCCTCGTTGAAATTTCGTCAAGGAAAAGGAAATACGTCAAACACCTTAAGTAGTCTTAAACACTGTCACATCTCAAAGTATGCAGAAGCCTATACATGTTAGCGTGCCATTTGGTATAACACTGACCTAAAGTGTTCGCTCTTACTTTTATTGTAATAAAGTTTTTCTCGCAAAAACTTTATATTGGAAAGCTCTTGTAGTGCTATACCCTATCAATAAGGGGATATAAAATATTTTTATGCTTCGTTATTGAACTAGAGATACTTTATTAAGCTTTTATGTCATAAGTTTTAAAACAAATTATGTTTGTGTTTAGTCCCTCGGTAGGTCAGCGGTAATTTTACAGACTTACAACACAAATAATCGGGGGTTCGATTCCCCGCGGTGAACAGAGTGCATGTAGCCCATTGTGTAGATTTGCACTAGAAAAACAACAATATATTCGTATAGATCTCTTCTCGGTAAAATAGTTGCGAACGGATATTGGCCCTTATACGAACTACCTAAAGAAGGCTAAGAAATTTGAAATGTTTAAATAAAAAGAAAAAAAAGCGTTAGAAATAAAATAGTACTATTTTAAAACGTTTTCTTAAAACTTCAGTGACACTTTCCTCAAATCCACTTTGCCAATTTCCAATCTGCACGAGAAGAACTTACCATACAGAAATTTCGTAAAATAAAGTTATAATAAAGTCAGAACCCCTTCAAAGGAAGTCTGGCAGATAACATATTTCTGTCATCGATGATATGCGAAGGTTGAGTATGTTATATTAAAACGATTTTTTAGCCTCTCCACGTCGTTACTGTCCATGTCGCCACGTCCGGTAATGTTCTATGTGAATACCATGCGTCTTGATAATAGCTCTGCAGCGTAGATTCCATTGCAAAAGACTCCTTCGTAAGGTTATCATTAAAATCACACTACTCCTCCCTGCAAGCTTTCTATAATCCATCTAGTGTATGAGGACAGTGATTTCTCAGAGCCCGTTTCAATAGTCTGATCGCACAGAAATCCATAGGTGACTTTACCAGTATATTGTCTTATGGAATATCACGAATACTCGATCCATTCTCCCACTTTTTAGGTATGTGATGGTTTAACAGATATATCGTGAAAGCAACTTATGTACACGTGACTTATTTCGACTTTCCAGATTGATATCCTTCTTGTTTATACTGCGTACTGTTGTCTGGGGCATGTGGGCGGCTTTTTCCACTGCCCTGTGTCTTCGTGGATCCTCACCTGTTAGAAGAAGCCGCACTTTGCTATCCAGGTTTGAGGTACGACTTGTCACAATTCTGTGTTCTGGTTGTTCCTTGTCCCCTCCCCCAAATTGATGAAATACAGAGTTTGAAAATACAGAGTTCTACCACAGAGCTACTCCACGCCCTTTAAAACAATGAAATACAGAGTCCAACCACTGATTTAATCCACGCTCTTTAAAACAATGAAATACAGAGTTCTACCACAAAGCTAATCCACGCCCTATAAAACAATGAAATACAGAGTTTGAAAATACAGAGTTCTACCACAGAGCTAATCCACGCCCTTTAAAACAATGAAATACAGAGTCCAACCACAGATCTAATCCACGCTCTTTAAAACAATGAAATACAGAGTTCTACCACAAAGCTAATCCACGCCCTTTAAAACAATGAAATACAGAGTTTAAAAATACAGAGTTCAACCACAGAGCTAATCCACGCCCTTTAAAACAATGAAATACAGAGTTCTACCACAAAGCTAATCCACGCCCTTTAAAACAATGAAATACAGAGTTTAAAAATACGTTAACCAATTAAAATAAATTAAAAATACAAACATGAAACTAAATTTTATACCTCACTGTTCAATGATCAACAAACCTTTACAAAAGCATGAACACGACTATCTCAAAAACAAATCATACGTATTTCATGGTTCCCATAATTTTTCATCATTTATAAAAAGCCAAGTCAAACAAATATTATTGGCATAGAACGATCTAAATAATAAAATTGTTTACGATTAATTTTCCTACAAACTAATTAAAGTTATTTATCTACGAGGTGTATGTTTCATTCAACTAATTTAATTCTCTACAAAGTTTTACATTGCTAAGACGATTAAAAACCATTCTAACAATAAACGCTGTTTATATGCAATATCTTATATGTTCATGAAGTTTTCCTTCATGAGCGCGGAAAAACACTTCTTCTTTCGGTGAAATAAACGTGCAAGAGTTGGATTACATGGTAACCGTGGAATGTTGGTATACCACTGTCTTACATCTAAAGGTGTGTTTAGTTGACACATGAGAAGGAAAAAACACTTCTTCTTTCGGTGAAATAAACGTGCAAGAGATGGATTACATGGTAACCGTGGAATGTTGGTCTACCACATCTAAAGGTGTGTTTAGTTGACACATGAGAAGGAAAAAACATTTCTTCTTTCGGTGAAATAAACGTGCAAGAGATGGATTACATGGTAACCGTGGAATGTTGGTCTACCACTGTCTTACATCTAAAGGTGTGTTTAGTTGACACATGAGAAGGAAAAAAACATTTCTTTCAATAATAAGATCGACAAAAACTTGCTTACTCCATTTCCTTTGTCGTTTTAGCGCAAAATTACACAATGGGAAAGCTACACTGTATCGTCCGCAGGGATCAGAACCAGAATTTTAGCGTTATAATCCCTCAGTCTTACCACTGAAACACGGGGAAACTACTTCTCGATCGGTATAGCGTGGAAGAATTACTCTGATCAAAGTATATCATTCTTTCAGATAAATATAATTTGTTGCTTCAGTTTGGTTTGTTTTTCATCTAAATTATTTTGTATCCTACAGTAAGTCTGTAAGTTAAATAAGTAACTATTAATTTTTCCATTTCAACGATATACGTGATGGTGGGAGAAAAAATTTAGTATATGTCAGTCAGTGAAAACTTTTTTTTGTCTATATGTGTATCCCGAAATATTGCTTGTCTTTTAAATAAGCTTTAAAGATAAAAAAAAAAAAAACTTAGTCAACTACTAATATCAGAACATAAACATTTTGCGTTGGATTTTAATATTGGTCAATAAGATCACGGTTTGAGCTTCACTGCGTTCAGAACACAAGATAGATCACTTAATCAGCAATAGGAGGTTATAAATCATAGGCAGCGAAAAGCTGGAGGTTATTGATTCCGATAGACGTGGAATGTTATTTATCTAGATCCAGGGAAGATACTTCTAACCACCGATAAACGTGGAATGTTATTTATCTAGATCCAGGGAAGATACTTCTAACCACCGATAAACGTGGAATGTTATTTATCTAGATCCAGGGAAGATACTTCTAACCACCGATAAACGTGGAATGTTATTTATCTAGATCCAGGGAAGATACTTCTAACCAGTTGGAGGGATGAACTAAACATTTTCAAACCGTATCTGTTTTAGATTAAGAGAAATAATCAGTGGTAACATGATTGTTCTTTCTGTTTCTATCCTTGTTGAAGACGCAAAACAACCAATTAAAGAACGGAAGCCTGGCACGAAACAAAACTTCACTGGTAGACATTAATTTGACAACTATTATAGTACATATATATCCCTATTCTTATGAGCATGTTTTGATCATTTTAATGGTGAATTTTTCAATACAGCCACTATGATAAAACTGAAATATGCTGTCACTACTTTGTATCCTTCCCTGACAGCTAGAATCCAATTCCCACATCGAGTAGAATATCATTTACAATTGTTTCTAAATTAATAACCAAAAGAAAAAGTCTCCATATCTGATCAGAAGTTAATTTTACACATACAAAAAATTTGTGTTTGAATAAAGGCTCTGTCTTATAGAAATGTAATATATATATATAATATAATATATATATATATAAAGAGCCAAGTTATCTAAAAGAATAAACCTTGTAAAGACATAGTGGAAGAGTGGATAATTTAAATAAGAAAACATTGGAACAAATCCCCCCCCCCCCAGGAATTGCAAATTCCTCAAGCAGCAACACGAATATAAAAAGGGACGAAGTTTTGTTTGTTTGTAATTAAGCACAAAGCTACACGGTGGGCAATCTGTGCTCTGCCCACCACGGGTATCGAAATCCGGATTCTAGCGTTGTAAGTCCGCAGACCTTCCGCTATGTCATTGGGAGGACGGAACGAAGTTTCCCAGTTATTTATTGTTAAACATATCCACGCGTCACTTAGATCTTTACAGTAATTCCCATTTTATTTGAACTGGTTAATTTTTTTTATTTACTTTTTTTATTGTGGTTTGGTTATTGTTTGGTATTGGTTATTGTTAAGCACAAAGCTACAGAATGGACTATCTGTACCCACCCGATTTTTAGCGTTGTAAGCCTGCAGACCATCTGCTGAGCTACTGGGGAAGCCTAATTTTATATCACATATTTATATGGCTGTCCCATTTATCCTACGTCGGCTGTTTTTGCATGAGTAAAACATTTTGAGTAGATAGTGATAATATCATTCACCGAGAATTCGAATATTTCTGTAAAAACAATTTTCATAGCCTTATGTTGTTGGGTTTTCATTAATTACTAAATTCTCTGCGTCATAAACCATTTTCGTTAATTACGATGTTCAGTTGCTAGTTGCTCTCAGTTGAGATAATCTCTAATATTAGAAAAAGTTTCCAACCATCTAAGTGACATAACAAACTTACTGCTAAAAAAATTATTCTTTTAATATCTTATTTTAATAGTTCTTGTTGCTTTTCTTACACAAGCTTATGTTGTTTACTTAATTGTAGGAAACTGAGAACACTGCTGCTACGAAGTAAACTGATGACTAGCACCAAGTACTTCTTCAAATACATCATGTGAGTCAGATTCACACTCATTTTTCCATGCTTTACAAAAATTATCTCCATCTGCATAAGTCTTTATTTGATGTTATAAAGTCTAACATCATGTACTAACAATTCATAACAAGAATGTGGCGCCATCTCTTGGATTTTAGAAACAGTTAACGATTATATATATATTTTTTAGTGTGGAAAACTCCTGTCAAAACCATATAGAACCGCCGTATAACATCAGCTTAAAACTTGTACACATATAGAGAGATTTGAAACATACAGAACGTACAATAAATATTCAAGATGAAATTGTTATTTATTTCTCATCAATGAATGGCGTGAAATTGATTCATACAATATTTGTCAATAAGTTTAGTTGTATCATTAATTTACAGTGTAACAGGTTTCACAGTTTCTTATAAAATTATAGTTTTACAGTATTAAGTAGCCACAGGTGGTTAAGGGCTTATAACGCTAGAAATCAGGTTTCGATACTCGCTGTGGGCAAAGCACAGATAGCTCATTGTGTAACTTTGTGCTTAAAAATAAACAAACTTACAATAAAATCGAAACACGTACCCAGCGTCAAATAGTCTTTCATAGGTTTAAACACAATTTATTTAAATTCGAGATTCATGAAGTTAAAACTTTAGAAATATTTTCATTTGAAGAAAAGATCAGTTACATTATCAAGATACGGCATTTGTCTGAGAAACATTTCTTTATCCTTTAAGATTTAAACTAAAAAAATTCTTGTCCCCCAATGGGACAACGGTAAGTCTACGGACTTACATAGTGATTTCCTGCGGTGAACACAGCAGATAATCCAATGTGGCTTTGCTCTAAAACAACCAAACCAGAAAATGCTCAAACTATTTTGTAGCACACCCTCGAACTACAAAAAAAAGTGTGACGTTTTGTAGTGTTTTTTTTTACAGTTTCTTATAAATACAGGTCATATTCTGAGAGGTTAATAAAGATAATAATAATCGGGTTTCGATAAGTGCGATGGACAGAGCAGGGATAGCCCATCGTGTAGCCTTACATACAGGATAATATCGGTAGAGGTTAAATGTTCATAAGTGTATCCTGTAAATCACGTGATGATTTCAAAAATAGTCTTTAGACTGAATGTTAGGTTGTATTAAGCTAGAGCAACACACTAAACCCATAAAAAACGATGAATG